CCAATTTATAAAAAGCTAACAATTAATTGAATCATGACTTTATTTGCATGACATTTACATGACCATTCTATATTGTGAATATAGACAAAGCTAAATGGTATGACACACAGTAGGATTTTTAGAAAGGAAAATATAAAAGAGAAAAAAATGGAGAATAAATAAATTAGGAATGATGTATTGCCATTGTGTGAATAATATGCAATCCATAAAAAGTAACTGTAATCTGATTATGAGCATTATAAAATGTCATATAGTTTAATTACGAGTACTTGATTTTTGGAATCTGATTACGCAATCCAGATTGCATGTAATCAGTCACTACCCAGGACTGCCTTCGAATGTATGCGATCTGCACTGTGACCAAAGGTTTATGATTCTTACATGTTTTTGTTCATCATGATAATCTTCACAAATGAACACAACGTTGAAAGCCTCAGAAGTAAAAGTCAAAACGTAGGTTATCAACAGATTACACCGCGGTCGCTTGACGTCACCACCAGTAAGCTTCAGACAGCTCTTCCGTTAAAAACATTTTCCCTGAAAGTTTGAGGTACAATAGTTTGCAGGAATATGATTATAAACACAGCAAGACTGAAAAAGCGACTAGTGAGTGGAGTTTACCAGTTTGGTGTGATTACGTTTAATGTCACCAACAACAAGTTGATATTACTTATGTATTTAATGTTACAGAATAAAATATGAAAATATATTGAGCTTGTGTTAACCCTATTTCAGACATATAACCAAAAAAAATTATGACAGAAGGTAAGCATGAAGGTCCACCACTAATCATGAAATCATGAAAAATTGTATGAAAATGTACAAATGAGATCGTATGAATTATCCACCAATTTGCCAGAACGTTAGTTAAATAGTTAGCAAAATAGTTAAAAACTGTTGTTATATCAGTATATCACTAAAAAAGTACATATCAAACTTTTAAAAGCTCTCCAAAATATGGTCACATGCAAAGCATCTATAATAATAATCGCAATGTTGATTTCATGAGAAAATTGAACTACTGTAGGGGCCGATATGTATGGAAGTGCATGCATGGGTGCACAAACTGTATATTTGTACAGTTGTGTATGATTCTGCTTACACTGCATTGACAGTTAGGTTTAGGGCTGTACTTTCCTTCTTGGCTTTTTTTTAGATTTTTTTTTTTTTTTTGTACAAATTAATCAACATCTTGTAAACCAGTTTGGGTTGGGCTGTCAATGAGTAAAGTTGCTTTTTTGTCCTCATAATGGTGTAGTTAGGGTTAACCCGACCAAACTAACTAGTCAAACCTTGACCCAAAGTAGCTGCAATGTGATGGCCAAGCATTTGTGCTTGCATATCGTATGTTGGCGAATTGATGGCTGATTCATATGAATTCATACGTATTTCTCAACTCATCAAACTCATCAGCTTACAGCCCACTGATGGTTATGGTTAGACTTTCATGCTTGCGTTTTTTGTTTTTTTTCTTTCTAAAAATCACATTGAACGAATTCACATGAAATCGCCTTCTCGTAAAACAGTTGTTTTCTCATGAGATTGGTTTGAGAAGAACCTGATTGAGGCTCAAGGTTTCATAATAAAAGAGAAGATACTGTGTTGTCTGTATTATGTTAGGAATCCCTCTTTTCACCAGCAGGTTTTCTGTACAGTTTAAAGCATCTGTGTGACTCAACGTGATGTCATGAGAAATCTGGGCTGTATGTTCTTTTCTGGGCTCATAGTGGGCTGGAGTGAAAGCAAGAGAGGGAACGAGAGAGGGGGAGGAGAAATGAGGGGATATAATGGGTTGTGTGTAAGTGTACACCTAAAGAATACATCGACACAGGATCTCAGGGGAAGTAAATGTGTGTGTGTGTGTGTGTGTGTGTGTGTGTGTGCGATCGCAGCAGCAGCGTAAAGTGCTGTTACGTGGGGGTGGAGAGACAGAGGGAGAAAATAAGTGAGAGAGAGAACAGAGCTTCTAATAATAACCCTGAGAGGGAACACAATGATTGAGGCACTGAACGCACGGACAGAAGAGAAAAATCGACAAAAAAGTCGAAAATAAAGCTCAGAGTAGATCAGCAAGAAAGACTTCATGTTAAATTGTAATGGAATAAAACATGGTTGATGAGGGAAAAGATCGGATCAGATGTGGAATTATGTTTTTAAAACATCTGCCAGACACATATTTCAGAGCTCTTCTGTTCATGTTTACACTGTGATACTCACAGTATCATTCAATAATGCCTAGCAAAAATGGCTGATCAGGGCTGTATTTGTCCGTCAACACCCGTAAAGACGTCTGAAAACTAACTCCAATGACTCCAGATGAGGTGTTTGAACACTGGTCAGGTGTATGTGTGTACTCTCAGGGCACTAAAACATTTACAGGATTGCGGCAATGCTGTGACGGGAATAAAGATGGCTGAGTGCTGCCCTCCTCTGGTGTGATGAAGGTTAAACATCCTCCTCTCCCTCTCAAGACTGCCAGGAACATCTGAAAAAAAAAAACATCTGGGATTGTATCTAATATAGCCTCAGAGTCTCACAGCTGAATGATGTGTATCCTGAGTGTTCAAAAAAAGTAAGATACCTGTGGATGAAAAACAGAGAATATTGAGTAAAATCCAAAATAGAAGGAGCGAGAGACGGCTAGCCAAACACAACGGCGCCATCTTGAATCTTGAATCAGATATATGAGACAAACTAGGGGTGGGCGATATGACCAAAATCTTATATCACAATATGAGTAATTTTATTTCACGGTAACTATATATATATCACAATATAGTTGTTTATGATTTAAATAAAGTCTTTATGATATCAACATTTTTGATTCCATAGACATTTCATAATGTGATAGTGTCAATATCACACACACACACACACACACAAACCTAATACTAGCATAAATTAAAAAAATAAATAAACTTAAGCTCACTGAAGACAAGTAAACAGTCAGTGATTAAATAAGAATAAGAAACTAATTACAAGCAAAAGGACAACAAATAAAGTAAAATAAATACTACAAAATACTACATGTATTGTATAAAGTAATCAAATGTATAAAAAGCACTGCATATTCTTCACTGTGTAAATTAAATATATATTTTTTCTTATTAAATTTGCAAAAGTGATTTAGTCAAGTGGAGTGAGAGATTTTCTCTCTTTTGTTGTTTGATTAACTTGAAAGACAGACAGCAGGAATATTAGACTGCTGTCACTTTAAGAGCTGCCCGGATCCAATATACTGTTACACATGAGTTTTCTTTCTCAGCTGTTTGCTTTCACTTAAACCTAAATTACTGTGTTACGTGGATACTTGCAAAGACAGGCATTTTGACACATAGTGTGTGTATTTAACCTTTCAAGGCCTATAAAGCAGCAAAAATAACTCTGTTCAATACTCCCTTTATGTGTGCACGCCTCTCTGACAGCGCTCAGAAACAGTCTCTCAGACAGCATGCACATATAGCGAAATAAGTTCCCGTTGCGTTTGACACGCTTATGGGGAAACTCCTGTTTACTCTAATACTGAAGCCTGATTTGTTCACGTTCTTGTAACTGCATGAACAAATGCAGTTCATGATGTTCAAAATGAGCAAAATGAGTTCAAAATGAGCAAATTCAACCCACCAAAAGGGGTGGAGCCGACCGCTATATAAGTCGGCTCTGCGTGCCATTTCGTCAGAATTTTTCTCCTTCAGCGATGAAGATCATCTCCTCGCTGGACTCTGAAGAAATAAGCCGAAACAAGAAGCTCAGCCTGCTGCACCTAGCACTCAGAGCAGCACTTTGTATGCTTCGGAGGCTGCTCTAAAGGGCTGCCGGTTACGAAGCAGAGACTATCTCACTGGATAGTTGACAGTATAGCCCTGACTTATGCCTCAGCGGGCTTACAGTGTCCTATCAGAGTGAGGGCCCACCCCACCAGAGTGATGGCCTCCTCCTGGGATCAGTCCAACGGGATTTATATTGGTGATATCCACCTTCACTAGGCTTTACAACTTGGACGTCCCTGCCCTCCAGGCACTGATTTTGTCCGTTTAATTTACCTAATCCCCTCTGTAATCGAAGAAGGTTCTGTTATATAGTCCGCAGCCTAGTGGCTTGGGTCTCATAATTAGCTCATGCTTTTATGAGCCTTCATTACGTGCGCTCCTGGGCTGGGCTCTGCACTTGCTTATACCACAGGGCTATTTGATGCGTTCCCCATATGTGTGTCAAACGCAACGGGAGAGACCGTTCGTAAGGGTACGTGCTGGTTACTAACGTAACCTCGGTTCCCTGAGATAAGGGAACGAGCATTGTGAAGGCTGCTGTGCTTTAAGGATGCACATGAGTCGATGGCTGTCACTGAAGCACCATTTGTTCATGAAGCTACACGAACGTGAACAAATCAGGCTTCAGTATCAGAATAAACAGGAGTTTCCCCATAGCGTGTCAAACGCAACGCTCGTTCCCTTATCTCACTGAATAGAGCAACTATTAAAATATCATTCAGCCAATAGAACTGCTTTGGGGTTCAAGTCAGATTCAATCTTAGAAGATCATCCAGAGTATTTCTCTAAAATCTTAGATTTTCTCTGCTGCTATTTAAAAAAATATTTTTCTGAAAGTTTCTCTTTATCCCCCACATTCTCTGGTGCCTTAAAAAGAAAAGCATGTTGCTTGTGGTACTAATTTACGCCAGTAGGGGCAAACCACTGATACAACTGCGTGAACTTCAACCTATAATAATAAAAGAATCTTGCATCATGACAACACATGATTTAATAATCAGCATGATCATACAGTGTCAATTAATAATCGTATAGTGACTTCCACAAACTGTTCTGTGATTACAGATTTCATCAAAGCTCACCATTAAAACAAAAAACTAAACGTGAGTTCAAAATGCAAGGCTCAAGTCAGCGACACACACTAGCTCCGGTCACAGGTGGCTGAAGACACACCCAACGCAAACAGAGGCCGGAGAAAGAGCGTGAGAACAGGTTTTGATCAGGTTTTATTCTCACACACCCATCACAAGCCAGTCGAACTTTGAAGGAAACTACAAGAAGATCCTTCATCATGCAGTGTAAGTCACAATCTCTGTTTATTCCACCTACACAAACTCTTTTCTTAGTTTATCATTCTATATTAAATGTCTGAATAAATGGAGGTTGTTTCTGACAAACATTGAGCATATCAAATCAGGTAGTTATTGCTCTATGATTCTGCTATTATTGTTTGTTGCTTACTTGGATGAAGCCACATGCACGGCCCTAGTGAAAAAGAAGTCTGGTTAATTGTATTGTGCACTTGTATATTTTATACTTCAGTATGTAAAAATGTACTTGCAGATTAATGAAACAAAGGGCACTTAAGTGACTTAAAAATACTTCCGTGGCTATTTCTTAACACACTTAAGTACACTTTTAAAAATGCCCTTTGTAATGTTTTACTATCAAGCACATTTTAAATCATTATGTTTTAATAATATGTTGTCATGTTTTAAAGAAGTACACTTATTTTGATGTGTTGACTAACATACTAATGCACATGTAAAGTACTTGATTATAATTTTAACTGTAGTGTTAAGCAATATTACATTTAAAATGTATATATATATATATATATATATATTAAATGTACTAAATTGCAACTTCATCATTACACAACTTATGTAATTACAAACATATTAAATATATGACATTAAAGTTTCAACAGAAATTGCATTATAGTTTACTATAAATGCTCATAAAGATATAAAGATGGACTTAAGTATGTCAGAAGTTTTTGTATTTATTTGGACGCGAGTAAAAGAGCAGACAGGAACAGATGGTTGTTTGGATTTGAATGTTGCCGAAGTCAAAGAAAAGCCGGTTGTACAGCATTCCTGAGATGACACGGTGACGTGTGCATTGTGCTGTTTGCACGTCCTTCACACGTCTGATAAGAAACTGTGACTCTCTGAGCTTACATAAGCTGTAAATCTGGTCTCTCACTTGTTGCTGTTAGTGACTGAGGCTGTTGAATCAGGACGGATCCATTGGGCTTGCAAACATGTCGAAGATTTGTTCATTATGTAATCTTTACATAAGTCTTTTTTGAAAGCTTTAATATTTTCTGTTAACTATGAACTAACAGTTTGAAACATTTTGGTTGGCATGTTTCGTCAAAAGGGACTTTTGTCGGGCCGAGTGCTAAAATAAGGGCTGAGTGCCTTGTACTTTGGTACGAATGTAAACACATCGCTCTCCAAAACTCTCTTCACTGGTTCATCAATATGGCAAATTGAATGCCTGACTCCTAAAATGTTGCATTTTCCCTTCCAAGCTAGACTATAACTCTCAAATAAACCTCCACTTTGATTCAAAGTCTTTATTCCAGCACAGCAATTTTCAAAAAAATCTTCTCACAGTCTGGAAGCTAAAGTGATTTGCCTAAGGACACAAGAGCGACCGAGAGCTCGAGTAACTCTTCAGATAATGGGCCACCTTCACCTGAAACTAAACATGTGACCTTTGTGTTAACAGCCCACACGCTTAACGCCTACGCTAACACTCCCGATCCAATGCCAGGCCTTTCATTCTCCTCTGATACCTTCATATTTGCCAGGAGAGCTGATGCTAATCATTTTAATCACTATTCAGTTTGTTTTTGTGAATGTTATTAGGATATGCTATTTTTTTTTTCAGTATCTGTTATTGTTTTGTCTTGGATTCTTGTTTGGTGATAGGTGTTCCCGAAAGTCCTTTGAATAGCAGGGTCTTTGACTCAATAGCTATGTTTCCATCCACATAATTTTATGCACATTTGGAGTTATTTCATAAAAAAAAAAAAAGCTGGATGGAAACCCCAAGATGTGCAAAAAAATCTTCAAATGTGCATAAAAACACGATAACATTTAGTACTGTTTTGTTTTTCATCTGTCCTTATGTAAGGAAAAAAGTCACAGGCTTCCCTGGTTTCCCAACAATTTTTTTTTATAATTTTATCACTGATACTTTACGCCAGTGAATGTTTGTTCTCTTGAACACACTGGATGAAAACATTGCTTTATTCGCAAATGTTGTATGCAATACAAGTTTCATTGGGATGAAAACGTAGCTGATGATTCATAGAGATGTTGGTGCACAAATGAAAAGTAGAATGAATTTATTTTGTTTGCCTGCAAGCTTCAAAGTCCAAGGTAAGGCCTGAATTTGCATATGTATACAAGCAACTAAAAGCATGCGTTTCTAGTGATGGGAAAGTACATACATCTGAGTAGCTACGTTTACATGCACCCAAATAATGCATTAGTAATCAGATTAATGGTCCAAATGGACTTAAAAAAAGCCTTGTAAACACCTCTGTCTGAGCAATTCCAATCGATCGGATTGATGAAAGGTGATACAGACCTGAAATAATCCAATCAGGAGAAGAAAAATAAGCAAGTAAACGCTTGAATCTGACTATCCTCTCAGTTGGATTCAAATATACTTTGCACACATGCGCAGTGCTGTGATGTGCAGATTTACACATGTTGATGTCTTACGAACATGTTTTTTTTTTACCTCTCACGTCAGTCAGTGGAGGATATATTTGCCAAAAAAAAACCCATTCTGAAATATCGAAAAACAATGCTGACACACGTCATCAAAAATGGCAATTATACTTTAAGAATCCAAAATTGGATTTGATTCATTCTAAATGATGAAAATGAGTGCATGTAAGCAGAAGATAGAACTGCACAAACCTTCCTTCTTCCTGCTCTTTCGAATTCCACTTTTTGGTGCCTCCAATCTAACTCCATCTCTGTCTCCCTCAACCCTTCGCAGGCCCGCAGTCTCCGGTGCGAATCCTGTCGGAGGAGCAGTTCTCCTGCTCCATCTGTCTGGAGGTCTTCGTCGAGCCCGTCTCCACTCCCTGCGGCCACACTTTCTGTAAGGCCTGTCTGCAGGGCTTCTGGAATCACAGCAAGAAGTTCATCTGTCCCATGTGCAAGAAAGCCTTCTCCAGAAAACCAGAGCTCAGCGTCAACTGCGTGCTAGCCGAGATCGCTGAACAGTTCCAGGGTCTGTCGACGATGTCCTCGGTTCCTGAGTTCGTGAATTCCCCACAGAAAGATGACGACTGGGGAGACTTCGCTAAAGCGGGAGACGTGCCCTGCGACGCCTGCATCGGCCGGAAGATGAAGGCTATGAAGTCGTGTCTGAGCTGCCCGGGTTCGTTTTGCGAAGCTCACCTGCGGCACCATAAGAAGGGGAAGGCGATGGGCTCGCACAAGCTGGTGGAGCCCATACACAACCTGGAAGACAAGATGTGCAAGACACACAAGCGCCTCCTGGACGCCTACTGCCGAAACGAACATGTGTGCGTGTGCAAGGAGTGCACAGGGTCCTCGCATAAAGGCCACGATGTTGTCTCCACCGAACGAGAGTGGAAGAAAAAAACGGTGAGATTTAACCCTTGTATTAAATAAAAAAGGGTATGTTCTTTATGGTAATGCGTGCAATTAGATTCAATACAATTCTCCAAACGTCTATGAAAACAACAACAATATTAGTATTAAATTGTAAAAACATGAGAACGAACGTATGACATATAAATCTATAAAAAGGTCAAATTCTAATTTTTAACTAACTATTAACTACATATTTTGCCTCAAACTCCTAATTACTGCTTATTAATAGTTAATAAGGTAATTGTTAAGTTTAGGTATTTGGTAGGATTAGTGTTGTAGAAAATGGGCATGCAGAATATGTTCTTTATAAGTACTAATAAACAGCCAATATGCTAGTAATATGCATGCTGATAAGCAACTAGTTAATAGTGAGAACTGGTCCCTAAACTAAAGTGTTACAATGCTTTCTTGTAGCTCAAACAGTAGAGCATGTCACCAGCAACGCCAATGTGTTGGGTTTGATTCCCCGGGAATGCATGAATTTAACAAAAATAACTTAAAATATTAATTTAATGCAATTTAAATTTCATAAGTTGCATGAATGTTACTGTTAACTCTCTCATAGGGTAGCTGAGAAACAGACATAGCAAAATACAGTACTATGCAAAACATTTTTTGTCTGTTTCTTCATGCAACCGCAGACGGACTGGATGATGGTGAGATCAGATCTCTGTGTGGAGCAATGGCTGTTGTCACATTCTTGTGCATACACAAATCTCACTGCATTATTACAATGAATAATAGTAGAAATGTTTGGAAATGTAAACAGATATTCCCTACTGACACACTACAGCAAAATATTTTTTGTTGGTGAAAATACTAATGGCCTTAGACTTTTGCACAGTAGTGTACATCAAAGAAAAGTGTTAATTTGGGTCTGGCAGCTGACTTTAATCATGAAAGTATGTATGCAGGTCAAATTGACCCACAAACAATATAATCGGAATAAATTACGAGTGCACATTCTACAACAGTGAAATATAATAATAAAAATAACAATTCCATACATTTATATAGCACTTTTCTGGGCACTCAAATCGCTTTACATAGAAGGGGGGAATCTCCTTAACCTCACTTTGCAGGCTAGATCATGACCCTAAATGAGCACAAGTCTCAACATTTCAATGATAACACCATAGGGTGTTAACCAGTACTTCAGAACACTTAAAAATCAAAATAGGTCAAACTGACTCGCCACATAATTACTCAAATGTATTTTGGGAGCTTGACAATTCAAGAAATGTGACTTGTAGATCTTATTGTTTGGTTCACAGAGTCAGCTGGGAAAGAAAAGGTCAGAACTGAAACATCTAATCAAGGAGCGAGAAAAGAAACTGGAGGAGATCAAGCAGTCCATCAAAGTGCTCAAAGTGAGTCCATGTATACTCTGTGATGCTTCTTTTCTTGAAAGGCTGAGTGGCCTTTGATCATTTTTCTTTGATCAGTTCCATGCTCATGTGCGTATATTATATATGCTTGGTAGTTTAAATTTCTGCCATTTGGATTTTTGCTAAAAAGCTACTTTTACAAGTCTTCAAACTTCAGATAATCAGTTAAAAGTAACTAAATGCTTTTGACCTATATCCATTAATCTGTATCGCATCCGCAAATCATAATAGATTATAAATTGCAAACTGTAATTGCTGCTTACAGCTATATTTATTATGCATGGCATAACAACACATAAACAGTATGTCACAAAGAATTTGATAGTAATCAATAATCATAAATAATAATTATCTGCAATCAAAGTATACATAACTAATTAAATCTCTGCCTTGAGCTCTGTCCCTGTAAGGATTCAGTTAACAGACTGTGGCAAGTTCATGGGTTTGAAAACCTGAAGATATTATAGAATTTCACAGAATAGAATTTGTGATTGCCAGACCTGGAAAGTTCAAGGAAATTAATGCAATGTTGGAAGGGGGAATCAAAAACTGGAAAAGTCCCAGTACAGACCCAGGGTGAAAGCTGCCTCTGCCTTAGACTGTTTTGTTGAGAATATCTGTTTACCTTTTGTTTCATCTGACAAAACCAGTTAGGGCACTGCAAATATTTGCCCATGCTGTCACACCCCTCTTTAACTGAGAACATTACCCTTCAAATGCTGAACAACACAAGCAATTCAGGATAAAAGGAACTTGAAAAGCCTTTTGTTTTTGACTGGAAATAAACATATCACTTGAGTTACAGGAAGTGTTTCTGTCTTAAAGTGGAAACAGAGCTGAAGTTAGTGACAAGTATGACATCACTATTGACAAATACCTCCAAAAACGGAACATTTCCATCTGTGATATTATATCCTTCCTGTGAGATCGGATTCGGGTTTGTGTCAATGGCATGCAAGGTTAATGTGTTAGTGTTTTGCCTGTTCAATAACTGTAAATAGATCACAGGGCCATCATGAGTCACATTTAAAAATACAAAGAGGATCCAATTACATAGAGGGTGGAGAGGGAGAAATAACTCATATTAGCCTCATTAATGCTCATGAAAGCATTAATGATTACAGTAATTACTGTAGACAGAGATAAAGATGTCGGAGCAGGTATAGATGTGTTAGAATCAACACCGTTCTTCAGTATAAGTTTCAGCGGTTCAACCGGTCTGTGCTGTCAAAACACTCGGGCTGAGATTCTGCATGCTCATGTCAACATGCGATCTGCATGGGTTTGTCACAAGCCTCTCTGGTCTCTGTCCTGGAACTGTTCTGTGCATTTTCACAACAGAGAAACCAGAAAAATCTGATCCATGTTGGCCTCAAAATCAGAGTTACCTACATGATCCTGCAAACATGACCTGCAGCATGATAGTGGTTTTGTGTGTGATGTTTAGGATGGGAGAACATTAAAACTGTATTGCTAGAAAGCTTGAATTTCTGATGAATGGTGTATTATTTACACCTAAGGCAAAACAAATATTCTGTCAGGCTGAATTCAATTAAATTCATGCCATACAATCGGTGGCAGAACATGAAGCTTTCAGCTGCTTTGCCACCTGGCTACCAGAAGCAGCATATTCAATTTCACTTTCATTTCAGCAATGGAATATAAATAATAAAATAAATAAATAATAAAAAAACAATAATTTATCACAGACATGACTTTCGAATGTAAAGTTATTTGCAGGGCTGAATTTGATCATTGAAGGTAAGTGGTAAATAAAGCGAGGTTGTATTATTTAACATATTTAATTATTGCATGTTTATTCGCTTTAGAGTTTATTTGAGATCTATAGAGACTGTGCTGAGGGTATATAAGATGACATTTTTTACAGTAAAATAATGAATACAAATAGTAAATGTATTTGAGCTTTAAATGATTATTTTTATGTTTCACAGTCCTAGTTTTTATTTAATAGAATGGGGATTTAATGCAAATTTGAAAAATGCAAATGTGAAAGAAGGAAAAGAATGTTGATGGAGCAAATAGACATACACAAATACAGAGTTCTGGCATGGAACTCTAGATGGCGCAGTCCGATAGGTCTAACTCAATCTGACCTAATGACATCATTATCACATGGCACAGCTGATTGGTTCTCTCCTTTATCCGTAACCAATGAGCTCACTGCTCAACATTCAAATATATAACTAGTGTTTGCCGTAGCAGTGCAGCTTGCTTCAGAAACCCTCCACCTTCCCCAGCTCCACCTGTATAGATCTGCTACGAGGTGATTCATGTATGTTATATGGGGGTTATTTCATGTATATTTGCAGCAGCAATATTTCTTACATGCTCACAGCAGCATGTTGTGGATGTATTGACAGCCGCAGCGTAGCAGATCTATTCCGTCAAGACCAAATACATTAACATTGTCATGTACATTACCATGCTAATCCCTCCGAGAGTTGTCATGACCGAAATGTAAATATGCGGAGAAAGGAGACAAAATAATACATAATCAATCTTAAATAAGGGTTATTCGGTCAGCTGCTGTATGATGACACATGGCATCCTCTCTGTATTCAGGACAGCAGTCAGAGGGAGGTCGAGGAGAGCTGGGCGGTTTACGCGGAGCTGCAGCGGCTGCTGGAACAGTCTCAGGCCGAGCTGCTGGAGCTCATCACGACGCGGCAGAAACAAGCGGAGCAGCAGGCCAAAGATCTGTCCAGCGGCCTGGAGCACGAGCTCAACACACTGAGGAAGAGGAGCAGCGAGCTGGACACACTCGCTCAGACACAGGACAGGGTGCTCTTTCTACAGGTCACTATACACTGCCATTCAACGTTTGATTATTTTGAAAGAAATTAATACTTGTATTCATCAAGGATGCATTAAATTGATCAAAAGCGACAGTAAAGACATTTATAATGTTGCAGAATGTTTCTTGTAAAAATAAATGCTGTCCTTTTGAACTTTCTATTCATCAAATAATCCTGAAAAATTAAATGCATCATGGTTTCCACAAAAATATTGGGCAGCACAACTGTTTTCAACATTGATGATAATCAGTCATGTTTTTTGAGCAGCACATCAGCATATTATAATGATTTCTGAAGGATAATGTGACACTGAAGACTGGCGTAATGATGCTGAAAATTCAGCTTTGATCACAGCAATAAATCATATTTTACAATACATTCACACAGAAAACATTTTAAATTGTAATACTATTTCACAATATTACTTTTCTTTCAAACCCACTGAAAAATCTGAGGCAGTGTGACTCCAAACCTTTGAGAAAATTAGAAAAAATTGATATAAATAAAAAATGTTTCCAGTTCCTAGAATTGACACAAACAGTGTGCGCATCTGAGTTTGTTAATTAAACCTACTATTTTTCTTCCAGTTCCTGCCATCTCTTCCTCCTCCACCAGAGCCATCTGATTGGTCATCTGTGTCCATGAACACGGATCTGTACCTCAGCACTATCAGGAAGTCCGTCTGCGCTCTGGTGGACAAGTTCCAACACGAGGTCAAACGGCTTTATGGGAAAGGTGAAGAAGCATTTTCCTGCTCTTTCCAATTCCTTCTACGACGTGAAGACATGCTCTCATCTCTACACGTTCACCGATGCATTCACTGAGAGTGTCTACCCTATTTTCAGCCCTTGCATCAACCAGGATGGAAAGAACCCCGGAGCGTTGGTCATCACTGCCGTTAAACACAGCTGAGACGGCAAACTCACTCTGATGCACGAATTTCTTTCTAAATGGGCTTTCTAAATGGATTCTGGACAAATAAAACACTTTTTATAAGAGTTATCTCTGTAAATCCTAAAACACAGTATGGGAACCAGCATGCATCTAGTGTAAGAAGACTATATGCTACTTTGAAGGATGCAGACAGTTCAAAATACATATACACTACTGTTAAAATGTTTGGGGTCAGTAAGAAAGAAATGAAGTCTTATTCAGAAAGAATGCATTAAATTGATCAAAAGTCATAGTAAAGACATTTATAATGTTAGAAAAGATTTATATTGTTTCAACATTGATAATAATCAAAAATGTTTCTTGAGGAGCAAATCAGTATATTAGAATGATTTCTGAAGAATCATGTGATACTGAAGACTGGAGTAATGATGCTGAAAATATAGCTTTGATCACAGCAGTCAATTACAGTTTAACAGATATTGACAAAGAAAACGGCTATTTCACAGTATTGTTGTTTTTACTGCGTCTTTGATCAAATAAATGCAGCCTTAGTGACCATAAAATCTTACTGGCAACCAACTTTTGATCTGATGTGTCTGTTGCTTTCCTTCCCCTATTGTTTCATATACATTTGCATTTCCCATTTTTATGTTTTAAATATAATGAAAAAGTCTTTGAAGTTATTGACTCCAAACCTTTGAACGGTAGTGTACTTTGGTCCACTTTGGCTCCACGTTACTACTAACATGAACGCTAAATTATACACACAAACACACATATATATATATATATATATATATATATATATACAACTCTCTATGCTTTCTATACATTCTAAAGATTCTTCTTATTCAAAGTTGGAAGTCTGCATCTGTTTGGAGGGCACATGATTCTCCCTCTGTCTATACAGGAATGGCATCTCCCACCAGCATGTTAGCGGAGGAGCAGGTGTATTGTTCCATCTGTCTGGATGTGTTTACCAACCCTGTCTCTATCCCTTGTGGACACAACTTCTGCATGGCATGCATTGGCAGCTACTGGAAGTCCAGTGCCCTCATTATGTGTCCGATGTGCAAAAAGACTTTCTTCAAGCAGCCCGACATCAGCATCAACACAGTGCTGAGGGAAATCTCTGAACAGTTTAAGGAAATTAAAACAAACCCAGTTGCGAACCTTCAGAAGATAACGCAACCGGACCCAGGACAGAGCCCTGTGGAACTCCCCACAGAAATGCCTGAACTGATACCTGCTAATGGACCATGGGCCCAGGAGGTGTCCTGCGACGTGTGCACTGGCCCTCAGCGACAGGCAGTAAAGTCCTGCTTGGTTTGTTTGACGTCTTACTGTGAGGAGCACTTAAAGACCCACACTTCCCGCTTCACCAAACACAAGCTGATCGAACCCGTGCAGAACCTGGAGGACCGCATGTGTAAGAAGCATGAGAGGTTACTAGAGCTGTTTTGTAAGAAGGATCAGACCATAGTGTGTGTGCTGTGCACAGAGATGGACCACAGGGCACATTACACTGTTCCTGTCGAACGAGAGTGGACCGAGAAAAAGGTAGATGTGCCACTTGTCATGACAACAGCAATTTTTATAGTGGCCAGTGCTCTTTTTTTTGTCCACTATATATAATGACCAAATGGATGACACTTAAGTGCCAAAATAATTCAAAAGCCACCAATTATTATTATTGCATTTTTTTTATTTATTTATCTAATTTTTAAGGATTAACTGACCAAAAGCACCTGGCCCTCAATTTAATATTATGCATCATACTGTAGAGAACAACAGTCAAGTTCCAGACAGAAAAATGTCATTCAGAATCTCAGATGATGTTAAAGGACAGTACATATCTGTTGAATATTCCGGCTTCATGCAATTATTTATACAGTATATGCTACACACCTTAAATCCTCAAGTGAAATCAGACCCAATTGGAGGTGTTGCTTATATGGTAGGGATGGAAAAAACGGAGTGTCTATTTAAACTAAGTGCAAATAGCCCACTATGTTTGCAAAGGCTGTTTACACTAACTCCGCCCACCAATGTGTGGTTGTGCTAGACAACATCACAAAAAAAAAAAAAAAGTAATTTTTAATGTGATCGACCTGAGTTTGAATCTGCCTTTAGCTGAGCTCGTTCTTCTCCCTTTTCACATCACATATCAGATCGGAAAGGCATTTATTTTCAATAAAATTGAAGGAAATATTCCAAAAGTGGAAATAAAGTGTCTAACGGATGTTTATTGGGTAGGGGTAGGTATTGGGAGGGCATTACTGTCCCAATAAGGTGGCAGCATCAATTTAATAATTTTAATATAAAATTATCAATTTACACTCAATACGTTATTATTGCATACTGTTTTATAATGTACTACAATACTGAAAATCTAACAACTATTTACAATCATTGCAAATAAAACGCTACTATTTTTTACGTAGTGTAAATATAATATATCATTATTTGCACTTAGTGTAAATAGCCGCTGCCAGAAAATAAAAATAAATACAAATTATGGCAAGCATTCAAACATCACCAAGTAGAGCTATGCCAGAGGCGATTTTAAATATTTAACACAATGCATTGTGATTGACAGGCCTTGTTGAGGAAAACTGAAGCTGAAGTTCAGCAGATGATCCAGGAGCGGCTGAAGAAAGTTGATGACATCAAACACACCATAGAGTTGAACAAAGTAAGTTTAAGTGTTTATGTATGTCTATCAGCAATTTGAAGTGCTTCAGCTTAGTTAACATGGACAGAAGGGTTTCACTTTATTTTGGTCCCTTTAACACATTCTGTTGACTATAAGTAACATTGCACCTACATGTCTACTAACTCTCATCAGAGTATTAGTAGACTGGTAGGGTTAGGGTTAGAATAAGTTGACATGTACTTGCAAACTTACTTATAGTCAGTAGAATGTCTGTTGGGAGACCATGACAATAAAGAGTTAGCAGATATTAAGCAAACAGTCTACTAATACTCTGATGAGAGTTAGTAGACATGTAGGTGCAACATTACTTATTGTCAACAGAATGTTCAAAAGGGACCATCAAAATAAAGTGTTACCATTATTTTTTTTTTGGTCAACCTAAAGAGACAATACATGTTGCCAAAAGCACCGTGATAATGTCAGTTTTGGCACACACACACACACACACACACACACCCTTGT